TCTCCTTCATGATAGTTGAAGTTATGGATCAATCTCGGCAACACTCAGTAGTGGTAATGGAATGTCCTTGGCCGATACTATCAGGAGCATCAGAACGGCTGGTCTTTGAATCGCAGACGAATGGCTACTCCATGGTGTAATGGGAGTTCTCAAGTTCTTACGGGGACATAGCGTCATTAGTGAACTTGAATTAGAAGTGTTGCTGTCTTCTGCATAATCCTCTCCATTCAGCTATCGTCTGTCGTTTATATTAGCTGCTACATAGCGGTTTGAAAGAAAAGCTTTGCTTTCACAGAATGTGCTGGTAGTGAACTGTTTTGAAAATATCACTAACGTCAACATAAATATCAATTTCTGGTAATAGAATTCAGATAGTTTTTACCATGTCTTGGGTTCCCACGGCTGATAGGCATGCTGATTGTTTTTTTCTTTTGTACGTAGTGATGTGGTAAAAATAAGAGGGGAGCAGCGAAAATCAATGCAAACGCCTATAATTGACTAGCTAAACGGCTCTTAATGAAACGTTTAATGTTTGAAAGAATTTGCAGTTTTTTTTTGCTTTAAATTTCGCTGTAGAAGGTGTAGTAGCTAAGAAGAGGAATACGGCATTTGTTCCAGAAGTTGAAAAGTTTTAGAGAAGGTGTTGATGAAAGTGGACAACCTAAAGTTCGACGCTCGATGCGGGAAATTAAAAAGCCGAAATTTGATGATGAAATAGTGGACAGTTTAGCTACTGTGAAAGTTTCGCCGCGGAAGAGGACGAGTACCGACCGCTTGCATCAGTCACCTGAAATAACTGAAACAACCAGCTTGGTAAGGGAACAACAACTGATTTTTTTAACTTTTTGTTTCTTGGAAAATAAATAATCAGTTCATTTTTACTTTTGAAGGAGAAGCTAGAAATTAACGGGTCAAAAATTAACGCACGAAAACGATTGCTGAAAGCAAGCGATGCTAGCTGTTCTGGAGTAATGGCCGACGAAAGGTTAAAATCAAAAAAATTTCCAAAATCAGCGTTACAGTCACCATCTCCTTCATCCATCGTGGATAAGGTTTAAATTTTTTTTAATTTTGACTGGATGACTCGGCTGAAGCTGCTTATTTTAGGAGCAGAAGGATTCCCATGCGGAAGTCTGGCACCTTATGGAGCCTGGTACCGCAGGAGAAAAAGTAAAGGAAAAGGTTAATATTTTTTGTAAAGAAACTTGAACATTTTCGATTGGCAACGTGATCGGTTTTTTTTTTTGTCAGTTTTAGAAGCGAAAGGAAAAAATGGCAAGTAAGGAGGCAAAAACTAAAGAACTTGCTGCAGCCGCATGTCAGTCTGCGTCCCTAAGCCCTAGTGCAGCCGAATCATTCAAAATCTGGACTGTTACAGACGATGTTGCTCTTATGACTGCTGTTATTCACGTAAGCTTTGAAATTTTGTTTATGGAGGATGTGAAATTGTTGTTGTTACAGTAGCTAAGGTGAGTACTGGTACGTCATAGTGCAAGCGAAGCTGAAAGGTTAGAAAAATGTTTCGTTTTGTTGCGTCATCTGTACACTGGGCCATTCCATGCCAAATCGTACACTTTTTTCCCTTCATATCTCAGATTTTCTTTAAATTTTGTTGTTAGTAGAGTCTGTCTCAGATTTTCTTTAAATTTTGCTGATTAGTAGAGTCTAAGGCTAGCATAGAGAAAGCCGAAAAAAAACCCAGGAAGGTGAATTCCTCGCTAATTTACACCTCCTCAAAGTTGCAAAATTTGCCAGGTTGCCACTTGGCATGCCCATCTTTGCAGACTTTCAATTTAGCTCGTTTTGAATAGAATTTAATGCTTTTTTGGTCTTTGGATTTGCCATGTCCAGAATTTTTTAAATGCGTGTTTATTTTTTTAATCTGTTAAAAAATCACATAAATACAATAAAAACGGAATTTCAAGCAAACATTAAAAAAAGAAATGAAGTTTTTAATTTTTTTAAAAAAAAGAGATATATATGCAGAATTTTTTGCTCTACAATAGGTCAAAATTTGGAGATGGCGATTTCTTGGTATCGGAAGCTACGAGCCGGTACAGGACGTAAAGCTGAAAAAAACCCACTATTTTTACAGTAATCTCATGTATTTTACAATGGCGAAACCAACCGGAGCCGCTTCTGAAGGCTACAGTGGGCAACTGCAAATATTTAGTATGGACGTTGAAAATTCGTTACCAAAGTTGTACTTTACTTTTATAATATTAGCAAATTATTATTCGCAGAGTTGTAAAAGGTAGCCTTTACTTCAGCGTTTTTTACTTCTTAAATTTAAAACTGTCTCCATCTTGTACTTGTTAAAGTTTTGGGTGCATAAGTGAACAGAAGCTCGACTCGTTGTTCTTCATTGAATTACGTGCTGTAGTTCTTTAGAAACATGGAAAGTTTTAAGTAAAATCCCAGTTCAACAAATACCCAAGAAAAGCAGTGAGTTCTTCGATGAGTTCTTTGACTTCTTTACGACGTCGAAATGTATACTAGCTACATAGTTTTGACAGAAGAAAACACGAGAAGTAAAAAACGCTGGAGTGAAGGCTACCTTTTACAACTCCGCGAATAATAATTTGTCAATATTATAAAAGTAAGGTACAACTTTGGTAACGAATTTTTAACGTTAAAACCATACTGGATATTTGCAGCTGCGCATTATAGCCTTCGGGAGCGGCTCCGGTTGTTTCGCCGTTGAAAAATACATGAGATTACTGTAAAAATAGTGAGTTTTTTTCAGTTTTACTTCTTGTTCCGGCTCGTAGCTTCCGATATTAAAAAATCGCTATCTCCAAATTTTGATGTGTTGTAGAGCAAAAAATTCTACATAAATATCTCTTTTTTAAAAAACTTAAAACTTTTTTTTTGATGTTTGTTTGAAATTTTGTTTTTATTGTATTCATGTGATTTTTTAACAGATTAAAAAAATAAACGCGCATTCAAAAATTTTGGACATGTCAAATCCAAAGACCAGAAAAGCATTAAATTCTATTTAAAACGAGCTAAATTGAAAGCCTACAAAGATAGGCATGCCAAATGGCAACTGGGCAAATTTTGCAACTTTGAGGAGATGTAAATTGGCGAGGAATTCACCTTCTTAGGTTTTTTTCGGCTTTCTCTATGCTAGCCTAGACTCTACTAATCAGCAAAATTTAAAGAAAATCTGAGATCTTGAAGGGAAAAAAGTGTGCGATTTGACGTGGAATGGCCCTGAAGGGAAAAAAGTGTACGATTTGGCATGGAATGGCTCACTGTTCTTGTCTAACTTCTGAAGGTTTGCTTTTCTTTAAACGCTTTTGACTAGGGTATGCGAAAACAGATTTATTTTAACTTTTAGGCCTTTGAGTTTCAGGTATGTGATTTAGACGCAGTTAGGAATTCAGTTCATTTTTCCCGCCCTTTCAGTCTGAAGGAAATTGAAAGCCGGTGGTATGATCTGTTATACAACGAAGTAAGTGGTATTATCAAACATATTTCTTTATTTTCTATCATTTATCTTTAGCAGTTAAATGGATTTGCCTGTATAGCATTGAACGGTTGGTAGGTTCATCTTAGTATTGAACTACATAAGAGTCTTGAAATCAAGAAGTCTTAATGTCTTTATGTCACTTCTTCTCAATTTTAGCGATGGAAGGTGCTCAAATAGTCTTCCATTCTCAACCCATTAATCATTAAAATTCGAAAGTTGAACGGTAGAATGGGTTTAATTTGGAAAGAAGCTTTGGATGGTAAATTAAACATTTTGAATATTTTACGCGTCGTTTTCAAAATAAGTTAGAAATAAAAAAATGAGTTTACGAACTGGAAGTAGGCACAGGTAGCTGGAAAGGGAGGAGAAGTTGGGTGATAAGAAAAGTTTTAGAGCAATAGTAAGACTCTTGCTGAAGAAAAAGATGTTGGATGAAAAAATTTTGAGAAACAGTGCTTTAAATAGGTTTATCATTATAAATTTATGTTTGGGTACTGTCTCACGTTCAAAGAAACAACTGCACTTTATCACTTTTTATGAAAGGTGAAAAATTGCTTATATTGAACATTTGTATTCACGTATTGGTTCTACAGAAAATTTCTGGTATGGCAAAACAGCGTTTGAACGAATTACCGCCTGAAACAGTAGCAGCTATACAGAGTAAGACTGCTTTTTCTGTTCAAGAAGAAGAGATTCTAGCTAACGTGCCATCTACATCATCTCCGGACCTGTCATCCTTTTCTCAGGTAACACTTCACAGTTCTTTTATCAGAGTTTTTTGATATGCACTTACCTTCATCATGAACTGTGCTTGTAGTTTAGTTATATGACCACACCTTGTTTGCATAGCATTTTGATACTTTTTAATAGTTCACTTTTTTAGTTGCTAAGTACAAACAGAAATTATTTCCATCACGCAAGGACTGCGGAAGTTCTTTTGGAACACTGGCAGTTGATGAGGTTATGGAATTTGCTAGTTGATCAGAAAGGGCCACCAGCATTTCAAAGTGCTCTTGACCATACTCTTATAGAAAAGAACCTTAGTACGACTTCTAATACTGATTGGCTTTTGGACTTTGAAGAGAGCAAATTGTGTAAAGAAACAGTTGCGTTGGATCGTGATCTGAACCGTTGTCCCAAAGTGTGTTTATTTTTGTTTTATTGCTATTACTGAGTGTTGTTCAGCACGGTATTATTCTGAAGTCACACTTTAGCCAGACTTTGAAGGCGTCATTTCTACAGTTTTTTTCTCAAGCTAAGAAATTTTATTCTGCTTTTGCGAATCATCCTGTTCCATTAGATAGTATATTAAAATAACGTCCCGGAAGAAATTTTCTGTGGCAATAGGCCTTTGACCCGATCATTGCTTCTGTTTAAACCATGCTCTTTAAGGTTAGTGTTGAAGCAGTCTCTGGAATATCGCACGAAATACAAGTTGAGACTGACACATGGGGCATTCTCAAAGGAAGCGTGTCACGTTTTTTGATTAAAGGTGATCGGGTTCTGATAGGAAGAAGCACTATGAAGCACGAAGTAATTTTTTTTAACTTCATAAACCTGTGGAGTTTTTTTTATTTGCTATTCAGGCAACTATCGGCATGTCATATATAACTACAGTAATTCCTGTTTGCGTTCGAAGGACGATTCGAAATGATTTCAGGTGGATGTCAATCTTTCTTTGGAGGGTCCAACTGCAAATATTTCGAGAAAGCAAGCAATCTTGAAGCGTGTCTGCAGGCTTGAAGATGGTTTTGTTGAGTATTTTATCGTGAATGTGGGTAAGCGGCCAATCTTTGTTAATGGCGTTGCTGTCCCCTCAAGAAGTAGAAAGCAAGTTGTTGACAGTAGTATAATTGAGATAGGAAGTATACGGTTACATTTATCCATAGTCGTCCGAGACTGAATTTTTTTCTAGAAAGTGGTACAGAAACTGAGTAACAAAAGCAAACTACCTTGATCTTGTAGCGAATTAATGATTTTTTCGTAGCCGAAATGAAAATGACAGTTTACTCCAGTGATTTTATTCTGTTCATAACAACTTTTATTCATGGTCAGTGGCAGCGAATTCTGTTGATGTTTTCAAGTGTAATTCTTTCTTAACCCCGCCATAGTTTTCCGTGTATACGCCTGCTAAAAAAAAAGAAAATGAAATTTTCACATTATCATTTACCGCTCATGTGTTAGGACGCTGCAGAGTAATAACTCATCACATGTGACAGAGAGTAAGGGGCATATAGTTTTTAATTAGTACGTTGATCCCTTTTTGTCTGATTGTTTGGGATTAATTAGTAAAGGAAGCGCTCCTCCGAGCTTCCGGTAATCCTGAAGCAGTTGTGCTTCGTTTTTTACCACTCACTAAAGAAGGGCCATGTTGGGTGAGTGATGAGTGTAGTTTTAGTTAGTGTACTTGTGTCAGAAAAGGCACTTTAGAGTTCTTGTAGTTGCAGTTTATTATTGAGCAAATAGTTCCGCCAATTTTAAGAAAACTCGGGAGTCTTGGAGTAGGAAGCTCAATTTAGTGGAGAGGTACTGTAATGAGGTTCCTTTATAGTATGTTAATACGTCATTAGGAAATAAGGGGATGCAAAAGTCGCATTACCTGTAATTATGGTCTGAAAATTAAATCTGCGTTAAGTTTGATAGCACTCGCTTTTTTTCGGCCGACCAGCCGTATGTTTGATCTACTTTTGCTGACCAGTAGTTTTTAAGGGATAGACGGAGTTACTGAAGCTGCCTTTTGCAAGCAGATTAACATCTACGGCTCACTACATATTAAGGACTCAGCTGCTTGCTTTGGGCTGCTGCAGGTTGCTGATTCCATTGGCAGATGAAGAGATGAAGCGATTGAGAACTAAATTTTTTTTGCAAGCTGTTTTTGTGGGCTACAGTCTGCTTGCAAAACAAACGTATTGCTAACATTCAGTCGACTGGAAAAGCTCCACATCAACCAAGTTAATGATATAAGTTCGAAAGCCTAATCAACGTGGTGCTGAGTATTTCACAGACCTTGTAGTAACTAATCTGTCCAAACAAATTCGTCTTGTTAAGACCAAGATTTTCAGTTCCTGAAACGTATTCCGAAGTCCTCGAATAAATACCATAGCTTCTCAGCAAGCCATGCTGTTGTAGACCACAAATAACACCGGCCTCAGAAAACTTCGAAAACTGAGGCTTTGATCAAACGAAACGAGTGCTTAGTGGTACCACCACTTTCATAGTGTTGATGATTTGCTACAAAGCTTACCAACCGAATTTATGTGAAGAATAAGATCAGGGTGTGTCACTTTCACTACCATGAAGATACATCCTGAAAAAACCGATGTTACAAAGCTCCGACAGTGTTTTATTTGACATTTACAAGCCCTGTGGCACTAAAATCCATAGTCACGTGCTCAACTGAAACCATATTTATTTCTTAGACAAGTCCTAACCGCTTGCGGGTACCAAACATGGAGCCACATTTTAGTGCAATATTCCGCCAAGGAATTTAGAGGTGTGACGAATTTATGAGGTGAATAAATTATTTAATTTAGAAGTTTCCTTAATCCATTACTGCATAATGCACAAAACTGTATTTACTAGAGGACCACTCTGAACTATGCTCATTAGCTGAACTAGAATTTTAAATTTATTTAGGTGGAACAGTGGCGGGCAGCAGCTCAATTGTAAAAATAGTAAGAAAACATTATTGAAGATCAAAATTCATACCATGGATAAGAAATATTTTGTGGTAATGGCTAAAAAGTATAAATCAACTTTTATATATCACAGTGGGAGTCTTGTGTAACCTTCGAACAGTTACAATATACAAATGAAAATTTGAAGAAAATTGTAGTGATTTTAACCAGATACTTTCTTCTTTTGTACCGCAATTGTTACGGAATCATCCTGAGTAATAATGGTATTATGGTTGTCGCTGCTCAAGATCACTGTAGGAGTTTCAGATGATGTTCGATCGAGCTTCTTCGCAAGCACGATTATATCTCTTGTTGCAGCAGCTACCGACTCATGATCTACCATACCCTGCTGACTTATAGTGAAACCAGAATCATCTACACAGATTGCACCTGTGACAGTCGAATCCTCCATCCTTAAACCAATCAGTCAATGTTTCAAACAAACGATATGTTTGACTTAAAAACAATTGATTAAAGGATAATTCAACAGATCTGCCATTTCCAAACCAGATTTTAGGTAAACATTGAACAGAATGTTTTGAAATTCGGAAGTTATCCCTTCGAATAACAAACCACAGGCAAATTTTACATTCTTCCCGCAAGTGGCACTAAACTTCAGATTTAAATCAGCTCGAACAGCTGCCTTTAGAGACTCACGATGATTCTTATAGGGTTATAAGCTTGAAAACCAAGCTTATAACCCTTCAAAAAGATTCCGTACCTCTTAAACTAATTCACTAATTCACGGCAGGAAAGAAAGCGATTACCTCATTACCTCCGCCCAACCACTCTCTTGCTTAAGGATTAAATCCTTTCAGCTCAAGAATAAGTTAGCACCACTCAAAATGTTTGTGAAATTCAGAAGTGGTACTTTTTACTGGTAAGGAAATACGTAAATGTTGCATAAACATGCCCAAATAAACACATAACACACATCTAAACTTGATCCTTCAAAAATTCAGATGACCTAAACTGTGACGTTTAAATCTTCTCTTTGTACCGTCTTACCTCTCTCTTTATTAAAAACATCTCTCCATCCCACATTTCGTTTCCATGATTAACAGGATGAGAAACTACGTTCTCAGTTCTAGAAATTCTTTCAGATTATCCTTATTGTGCTTAAACCTATTGGAGTTTGTGACTGTTACTAGAAAACAGCTCAAGTTTATGGCTTGAGGGAAGAAAACTTCGAAGTACCCTGGGCAATCTTGCGACTTCATTAGTCTAACACAACTCAAGTGTTTTTTATCTACCGCTATGCGTTTATTGTTCATTTCCTCATCCTTCCAACTGCTTATTTTTTCGTCTTCTGCTTGCTTTTCCACTTCACCGACAATTATTGTCACGCGTCCAGTTTGACGAGCAAAAACTTGACTTTCTGCAACGTTTATGACCACACAATTAAAATAACTGAGAATTTCCTGTTACTACAATCTACAGCTAGTGTTACACCGTCAACTATTTGCACAGAACCTAATTTCAGTACGGTCACTAACACCACAGAAAATTAAACAAAAACTCTTACACAGTTTCCATGCATTTCTCCAACTGCGTCTCCATATCTCCAAATAAAAGAACCTTCACAGCAAAACAACCGTGTGCAGCAAGAGCTCACTTCCTGCGAATCCGTAAAATAAAACAAGTAGACCTGTAACAAACAATGACGCAGTGACAACTGATCAGCGAGACCTGACACAAAACCACAGCACAAACTGCGCATACAAACGGAAAAATCTGAACTCATCTGCTCTTGCAAACAAATCCATCAAAGCATTAAACGAAAACAATTACTGTTTAAGAACTCTTTAACTTGCTGCGTGACCTTTTCCCTTTGCCATTTATGACCTATATACGCCAAATTTGCCGCCAAAAATTAAGATAATTCCAACCTCATACAATAAATAGATTACTAAAACAGTGCACTTAAAACTTCAAAAACTTTATAACCATTAAGGAAAATAAAGAACACACAAACTGTAAATACCAAATATGACAAGTAAACGCCGCGTTTAAAATCAAGAAATAACACAAGAAGAACTTTTATTTGCAAAACAAAGACAAAGAAATATACATCTGAGGATCGCAAACTAGATTTGACCTCACCGGTAAAAAGTTTAACTAAAATTTCATGTTACAAAAAACTAATCACATTTACATAAACTTACATTTCCCAACTAAATATTACCCAAAAAAATGACGCAAAACATACTCAAAAATTCGAGAACGTCCAGCAGTATCACTGACCAAAACTGAGGGTAAAAGAATTACTGAAAGACCAGACTCGTATATGCGACGTTAAAATAAGATCAAAGTTTCATTTCAAACTTAAAATAATTATAAAATATGCTGAGCATTAAAAAATCGGGTTAGATTACGCTGTGAATAAGCAATTCTTAAACAACGGCCTGTGAATTAGCAAACTCAGCTTTCGCATATTCAACAAACTCATCAATGAGGACTGGCCAAGCACCTTCAGCATCATAATTACTAAAGTCGGGCTTTATCGTTGTACTGAAATCGTAAAGAAGGTTCCAAGTATCTCTCGAAATCGCCAATACTTTCTGCAAATGTTATTTAAAAAAGTCTCAACCAAGCCTAAACAGCATCACATCTCTTCATGAAGTTTTCGGAAAACGACAAAAGCTTTAAAAGCAAGCCAAAAAGAAAAGGAAAAAACAAATATGATGGCGCTGAAAATCTTCACTCATACTTCAGACGCCTCTTAATACCTTTTCGTGAAGAAACTTGATCCATAGCGGCAGGTAGCCAAAATTGCCCCCAAAAACTAATTTCCAATACTCTATTGCAACGCCCACATCTGAAAACAACGATATGAAGAAGTAACAAACGACTCTTGAAAAAAATTAAAGCTTTTTTGCAGCACTAAATAGACGTAATAAACAGGACGAATACAAGAACTCTTTTCCATGAATGTACGTGTGCAACGAAGAAAAATACTATCTCATTAAACTACTACAAATGATTAATAGAAACATTCCATCATAAATAACATTCTCCATCAAAGGCAATGTGCACTAGCATTAATAAGCACCAGACGGTCTAAAGCACAAAAGGAAATATAAGGAAACTAAAGACCTCTTTGGAAAAAATTGACTGAACTACACCAAATGATAACCTAAACCTCGATAATTCTGTATTACCACTTATCAGGTAAAAATTCTCGCTCAACAATTGAGAATATACTGACAAAAAATGTCTTTTCTGAAATATTTACAAATAAAACTTCACATTATAAACACATAAAGACCGTTAACCTCCCAAAAAGCAAAACAAAAACTTCTCATTTTTCAACCAAGTTCTCAAGCATGACAGAAATTATCAAAAGATTTTTCACTAGTTAAGATGAGAAAATGCTTACAAATATCATAAATGAGCCTACTACCTCTAGATAAAGTTGAAAACCACTTGAGTACTCATTCAAAAGCAGGAGAAAATCAAGAAGAATTAAATACCCTACCCCCCTCCCCTTGAACTAACGTTTATCCGAATAACTGCAAAATCTAATAGGATTTACAAAAATTTTTAGTTGCAAACCTAGTGGTTAGAAAAAATTTATAAAATTTGATTCATAAAAAGCATAACGAATATGTGACGATACTTCTAACACTTAAGAATTCAAGCTACGCACTTTCTCATTATTCGAAAAGACTATCTAATTTTGCGAACAAAAATATGTGGTTCATCAAGCCAAAACTATAACGGAACTAAGACCGACTTATTGTACACATGAGTCCTATATTATCATACTAAGCAGAATAAAATAAATTAGATTTAAAGATATTTACTTTACTATTCAATTATCGAAGCTGCAGGTAGAACTGAAAGAACTTCTTATCATACAACAAAAAACCCACCGCCCTCCACTTGCGTTCTCACTAAAAAAAAATATAACCTTTTTAGAACCAACTTGCTAAATAGGCCTCCACTTTGAACTATTAGTAATGTCTAAAAAACAAAGCAATTGTCAGTAGAAAACTCCCAACACGACAGAAAATTTCAGAAGGCTACTGATTTATATCTCACCCGTTATGAGCCAAATCAGTAACCTTTCATATTTAAAAAAAGCCACATATGAAAATAAAGCTGTCCAATTTTACTACTTCTTATCCTTTACAATTATGTCAAAAAAATGACTACCCGTCAAAAAAGATTGGGAAGACATCTTTGATTTCAACATATTCAAACTTTTTACTACATACCGAGACATCTCTGAGTGGAAGTCCTGGCGTAGTTAAAAGTAAACTGGTAAAACTGACGAAATTTATCGGGACTTTGTCTCACTTCTTCACTCAAAGATGGTAGTTTGCTTTTCAACTTTTCCAAGCTGTCAGCCCTGCAAGCAAAGGACGCAGAGAAATTCTTTTCAATGTTATCAAAAAGTGGAATGAACACTGTGCAGGAAACAGGCAATGAATGATGAAACCGCAGAAAAGCTTCACCTTATTACATCAGGAGTCCTTTCCTGGCTACTTATTGAACAAAAAAAAGAATCAATTAAATGGTATGCTGAGAATAAAAATTCAGAAAAACTACTCACTTTAATTCAGTCAAGCCAGTTACGAATTCCTGATAAGAGAATTCGCATTGTGTTTGTGCTTTTAATTTCCAAGCAAGTAATAAAACTGTCCTTTCTGTCGGATCCAATTCTAAGTCAGCCAATAAACGAACCATCCCGTGAGGCCCAATTCGAGTATTATCAGTGCCATCCTTTCGCTCTAAAAAGTAAGAAAGCTCATCTTTTTCTGAATAAATTTACTCATTCACTACCTATCAACCTACTATACCTTAGAATAACCAAAATCCAATCTTCAAAAGACCAAGTAATTTAAAACTAGAAGCATAAAGACGACTAACCGTTAGCGTATTTCAAAAACAAGTTTTGTATACTTTTGTGGTCTACTACGTCATAAGTTTGAAAACCCTGGTAGTTAAGAGGATGCTGAAAGTATAAGTCGCAGGCCATTTCAAGGTTCCAGTTTTGGCTTTGCAAACACTGAATCGCAATTTTTTCATTACACTGAGTCCACTGTATAAACTGGCGCACCTAGACGGCAATAAATTATTTTCTTAATAACCAATAAAGCAACAAGATTTCTCGATCTCCCAAATCCACATGCAGAAAAGCACAACTAAGCCGGTACTTGAGTCAATTATAAAACCCTTTCAAGAGAATAAATTTACTCCTACAACCGTACATCACAAAAGTAAAAGCAATTAAAAAAATTGCTGGGAAATGCAAGAGTTGCAAAAATTTACTCTTGTTAAAGACTAAAAATAGCAGATACCCTGTTCAAACCTGAAGTTTTTGCTAAAAGAACAGAGCTGCTACGCGATATCTGCACTTACACCCACATTAACTTAACAGATTGTTTTGCTAAGCAAATTCTGTCTTTTCAGTCCATGTAAATTCCATTAAATTTTTTCCGCGCTTTTCGATACTTCATTTGAAAGTAAATAACCAATTAAAGGAAAACAAATTAAACTTACTTTTTCCTTCTGACTGCCCTTCAGTTTATGCATAGCTGAATGGCTTAGTTTTACTCGTCTCAGAGCCTGAGCCACAATGGACGAAGAATAGTAAAATACCAGAAACAAAACCTACAACTCAGTTACATGATTTATACGCGAAAATGTAAATAAATTCTACTCATACATGGAAACAAAGTCGTCGATTAAATACTCCGTAAATAGCGTATAAAGAAAAAAAAGAGATAAATCATTAGCAACCCACTAATTCACGTCCTCTACCAACTTGGTTAACATCACAAATATCAATTACAAACGAAAACCGGAATTTTTACAGCGAAAATCATCCTGACAACGACAAGAGTTCTGTTAAATATGAAAGAAGACCAAAACAGACTTTTAAATAACGTAAAATAAAGGTCCTCTACTTTGCTTTATATGAGATCACAAAGTGGTGAGAGCAACGACAAGAATAACAAGACACAGTTAAATTCGAAGACAACCAAAAAACGCCTGCTCATAATAAATACTGCAGCAGAGCTTAGAAAGTACTGGAAAATCAAGAAAGATCAAAAATGGGGCAAAACAAAAACAGAAAAAAAAAGATTAGCATCATCAACAAAGTTGATGATTTCGCTACAAACGCAACCAACAGAGTAGCTTCCGGACCACCCAACAGCATAAAGAAAGTATACACGATACCTCCACCTTATTGACTACAGAAAAAGAAAAAAAAAAAAACGAAGCATCTTCACCAAGTGTTCAAAATGTTTCGTCAATAAAACTGCTGTTCTAAGTATTATAATTTAGTTGACGTGCGCTGCCACATACTGGCGACTTGATGATGATGATGATGATGATGATGATGATGATGATGA